CTTGGGTACCCTTCTGTGTTTGTTGATCGTTGCTTTAAAAGGGCTAAAAAATCCTTTCATTCCTCTCAAACCAGACAAGTTCCTACACTTAAGAATATTTTGACTCTGCTCTATCGTGATGAATTTGTCCCGTTAGTTCGGTCCCTCAAGCTTCTAAATATTAATGTTGTTTTCAAGTATGACTCAACCATTACCAATATGTTAATAAGGAATAGCCCAAGTTTGAATGTAAATGGAAGTGTTTATTGTATTCCATGTAGCAAATGTAATTGTAATTATGTAGGTCAGACAGGAAAAACACTGCAGCTCAGAATCAAACAACATAAGTATAATATCAGAACTGCATCTGAAAGCAGTGCCTTGTTCGTTCATGTTAGGAATAATAATCACCCCATTGCTTGGGAAAAAGCTTAGAAGTATTCAAATCATCTTGTGTCACAGAAAGACTTCTGGTTGAAGCTAGTTTGATTAAGGAATTAAAATCAATAAACCTTAGTGATGGTCAGTTCAAAACTGATAATATGTTACATAAATTTATTTGTCAGTGGCCCAAGGTTAAAACTGCTTTGAAAACCTTTGATCTTGATGTATGATAGTTATTTTGTGGGTCCCTTTTTTTCTGACCTGACCTGTCTAGTCACGTCACCACCCTTCTCTTAAGCTCCTCTACGGTTGTGTTGGTGTGGGGATTAGTGGATGTCATCATTATGACCTGACCTCATGTTTTTAGGTCACCCTGTGTTTGCTTCCCTCTCTGTCCATGTAATCCAGTTGCCTCTGAAGATGTCTTGAATAAAGACGAAAGCTAAGGTATCTTGCTGTTTCCATTTTCCCGTGTGATTTTTATCAAGATATATATATATATATATATATATATATATATATATATATATATATATATATATACTAGGCAGAGTACAGATCACTCAGTCTGTACTCACCCCTGAAGATGTAAATTACACGAAAGCGCTTGGGAACTTCGTGTTTTCTTTTTCCTTGTGGTTATCAGCATATACCTGGATCACGCGCACCTACAGTGATTTATTTGCATATATATATATATATATATATATATATATATATATATATATATATATATATATATATATATATATATATATATATATATATTTATTTTATTTATTTATATATATATATATATATATATATATTTATTTATATATATATATATATATATATATATATATATATATATATATATATATATATATATATATATATATATATACTAGCGGAATTTGTAACCAGGTGAGAAGGTTGGGTCACCTTACTCTCTGACCTGAATACCGACCGTTGCAGTGCTATTTAAAGATCAGTAGGGTCATTACCTAATACCTGACCATTGTGGACCTGATCTCACCCTCCTCTGTATATATACACCTTGTTTTGTACTTCTCCTTAGTCTGTATTCACCCCGGAAGATGTGAATTACACGAAAGCGCTTGGGAACTTCGTGTTTTCTTCTTTCCTTGTGGTTATCAGCATATATATATATATATATATATATATATATATATATATATATATATATATATATATATATATATATATATATATATGTGTACGTGTATAGATAAATATACAGTATGTGTGTATGCTACCGGAATTTGTTTTTTCTTTTCTTTTTTTACTCGTCTCTCCCTTCAAGTAGACATATCTTGTTCACGGGTCGCGTCAGAATCCTTTGTGCAGACGGCTTTTCCTTCACGTGTCTTATTACACCATCCTCCCCAGGTTCCGCCTCCTGTATTCGGCCTAGTGGCCACTGGTTACGGGTTAGGTTCTGACTTGTTACCAACACAAGGTCATGTACTCGCAAGTTACGTAACTGCATGAAGTACTTCTCACGTTGTTACAAAGATGGGAGGTGCTCCTTTAACCATCGGTTCCAGAACTGGTCCGCAAGAAACTGTGCATGCTTCCAGCCCCTTTGATAAATGTTATTCGTCGTCCCTTCCAATTGGCCCGCTAACGAGCAGTGGGGAAGACAATTTCCTTGCACTTAGGATATGCAATGGGGTGGGCGCCTCGAGGTCTTTGACGTCTTCCCAGGTCGGTGTAAGGGGCCGTCCATTGACTATCCCCTCTACCTCACAAAAGAGTGTGTGTGTAACCGGTCCTCATCCATAACTTGTGAGCCTATTACAGCTTGCAGGACCCTTCTGACCGTTCGGATTTGTCGTTCCCAGACGCCACCCATGTGCGAGGCGTAGGGTGGGATTGAACTCAATCTCTTTTTTCAATAGTTTATGTCGAACCTTAGTATCTGTTCTCCAGCTTCTAGCTGCATCCCTGAGCTCCTTGTCTGCTCTGACCATATTTGTCTCTTTATCTGAGCGGTTGCATTCTGGTACACCCCCACGTGCAGAGAAACGCGTTATCGCATTAATGAAAGTGTTAGCATCGAGCGCACTGAGGAGCTCTAGGTGAATAAGCAGCCCCATCGTTTCATCTGTTTTCTTCCCTGTTTGACAATGAAAGGACCAAAACAGTCAACCCCAGTGTAGGTAAATGGTACCTTCATCGGGACTATTTATTAGCAGAGAGGTCAGCCTCCCTCTGAAATGATTCCTTCCAGTTATTCCGTCGACAAATAAAACACTGTTTCAGCACCCTGTCAATCACTCAACGCCCTTTGGGAACCCAAGACCTCTGTCGTAACACTGCTAGGGTTTCTCTTCCTCAGTGCCCCGCTTCATTCTCATGGGTCTCGCGAACTATAAGTTTTGTAATATGATGATCACGGAGTAACAAAATTGGATGTTTACTGAGCCTTGGTAAAGCAGCTCTCCTCAGGCGACCGCCCATTTTAAGAAGTCCATTTTCATCGAAGCGTGGTACCAACTGGTATACTGGGCTCTGCGTCAAGAGTTCTCCTCGTTCCTCCAAACTACTTATCTCTGCACGATAATATTCCCGTTGCACGTAACACAATAACAAGTACTCAAAAATTTCACTAGTGACGGCCTGAACTGGAGCCATGTGTGAGTATAGATAGCAGACGATTGTGGGTGAGTTATCACCGCACTGGACACTGAATTCCACCGTCACCAACTGTCACACTGGGTCACTGATTCACAGTTGCTTGGTATTGGTTAGACTTCATAACTCGACGTCTTCAACCGTTCACTGTAATTCACACACTGCCCTCCGTATGGTTCAAAACCCACATCTGGGTCTCTAACTTCTTATTGCTTAGCTAATGTACTTGATGCTGACTCTTACAAACAGCTCATCTCTCTCTCTCTCTCTCTCTCTCTCTCTCTCTCTCTCTCTCTCTCTCTCTCTCTCTTAGTTACCACATCACATGTTTCATAGGATGCGGTAGACAAACACTTAGTTTATATCTTCTATGCCAACACTTGTACCAGTACCAACGCTTGTACCTGTGCCTGTACTTATATCTGTACCAGCGCTTATGCTGTACCTGTACTTATACATGTACCAGCGCTTATGCTGTACCTGTATCCAGTTTTGTACCTGAACTAGAACCTATACCTATATCAAATCTTGAACCTGTTTCAGCACGTGTACCTACTGTATACACTAAAAAGTATCAGAACTTCCACATTTACCAATATTTTTATCTAAACCTCACTTAACCTGACGTAAGCTAACCTTCTCTTACCTTGAATAACCCAACCTAACCTACCACCACCTCACTAAAAAAGAAAGTCTGGGTACACCAAATAATTTGCTATGTGGGACGCTGAATGAACATTGCCTGCCAGGGAAGAGATACACCTAGCCTTTGTACTGTAAAAGACGGCAAGTTGTTACTGTTATAATGTACAGCGTCTTTGAACAGTATTGTGAAGCAGCACAGCACACAAGGACAGTTCTTCCTACACTAAACAACAACTTTTCTATGATTTAAGAAAAATTTGCTTTCTCCTGTACAGTTGTTTGATGTCTTTCTGATGCGTTAACAGAGGTGGTTGTCCCTCGTCACGTGTTACCTTCACAACATACCTGGACACACTGACGCTACAGGTGTGTGAGACCTTGAGAGACAATACACACCAGGACACACTGATCCTGCAGGTGTGTGAGTAAGACCTTGGGAGACGATACACACCTGACACATTGATGCTCCAGGTGTGTGAGTGAGACCTTGGGAGATGATACACACATGGACATACTGATGCTGCAGGTGTGTGAGACCTTGGAAAACGGTGATCGTCTTAAGTTGCCCGATAATATGCATAAAAAGATGAAGTTCATCCGTGAACTTGCGGTAATGTCTGGTTGTAGCGAGGAACTACCTGTTGGTGTACCTCCCTGATACAGGTAATGAGGGAGTGTGTACCGCCTTGATACAGGTAATGAGGAAGTGTGTAACTCCGCGATACAGGTAATGAGGGAGTGTGTACCTCCTTGATACAGGTAACGAGGAAGTGTGTACCTCCTTGATACAGGTAATGAGGAAGTGTGTACCTCCTTGATACAGGTAATGAGGAAGTGTGTACCTCCTTGATACAGGCAACGAGGAAGTGTGTACCTCCTTGATACAGGTAATGAGGAAGTGTGTACCTCCTTGGTACAGGTAATGAGGAAGTGTGTACCTCCTTGATACAGGTAACGAGGAAGTGTGTACCTCCTTGATACAGGTAATGAGGAAGTGTGCACCTGCGCGATACAGGTAATGAGGAGTGTGTACCTCCTTGATACAGGTAACGAGGAAGTGTGTACAGTACTGTAATAAAGTTATGCTGCACTTGTACACTTGAACCCATGTCTTCTATCTTGTTATGTGTGTATGTACATATGTTATGTTTCGTATCATTGGGTTTTGTTTGTTTGGGGTAAAATTATATTAGCAATTTTCATTGTTCCCTTCACTTACTAGAGTATTCTTTTGTTCTCTTCCAGATGCCATACTACCCTTGGTCAGTTATATGAACAATAAGACCTAGGAAAAGGTCGACATTAGTCTTCTTTCACCACAATTTATTTTTCCTATCTGAAACTGAGTCATAATGGAGAAGTTCCTGAGGCCGGAACGTCTGGATACTACGCCGAACTCTCCCACCGCTTCAAAGGAGTGGCGCCACTGGTTCCGGACCATCAATACGTTCCTCACCTCCATTTCTGCTCTCGAGCCCGACAAGCTAGCCACGCTCTGCAATTTCGTCCCCCCATCTGTGTACGAATATATAGCCGACTGTGTCTCGTACGACGCCGCCATCCTGGTTCTGCATGACTTGTACAAAAAGCCGAAGAACGAAGTGTTCGCCCGTCATCTACTAGCTACCAGGAGGCAACACTCGGGCGAGAGTTTGGACGAATATTTACAGGAACTTCGTCATCTCAGCAAAGATTGCAACTTCAAAGCTGTTTCAGCAGAGGCGAACAGAGACGAGTATAACCGCGACGCTTTTATCAACGGTCTGCTATCTCCTATGATCAGACAGCGTCTCTTAGAAAACAAGACTCTCGATTTAGCAACTGCGTTCGACCAGGCTCGCGTGCTCGATCTGGCTCAAAGAAACTCCGAGTCCTATCTTCGGTCTCAGGCTCCTATGAACGCTGCCGCTGTTACTTCACCTGAGAAAATCGACAGCGATGACTCTCCCCTCTCCGCTGCCACTCAACAACCAAATTGTTATTTCTGTGGTGGAGCACGGCATAACCTACCTCAGTGTCCTGAACGAGATTCAACTTGCCACAAATGCAACAAGAAAGGCCATTTTGCGAAAGTATGCAGATCATCTCGTTACTCACCTGCTACTTCATCTTCCACTTGTGCGGTCTTACACTCTCCTACTTTGGCGGCAATATCTGCGATTTCCCCTGTCTGTCTCGCTCGATCTACAGCTACAGCCATCGTTGATACCGGGAGCTCAAAATCGTTTGTATCAAACCGCTATATCCAGCAGAAGTCTCTGAAGTGTCATCCAGGGTCAGGTCACGTGTCTATGACCTCGTCTTCCCTATCATTGCCAGTACTAGGTCACTGTACCGTACACATTACCCTCAAGGGAAACTCTATCCAGATACTCGACTAACTGTTCTTCCCGACCTATGCAGTGACGTTATTCTTGGTCAATATTTCATGAGCCTACATAGTGGTGCTAGTATTGATTTCGGTGGGCCTAAAGAGCACTTCATCATCGGAGATAATACAGCTGCTTGTAGCCTAATATCTACTTTGGTCGATCCACCATCTCTCTTCTCTAATCTGACCTCCCCTTGTAAACCTGTTGCGATGAAGTCAAGACGATTTAGTCAAGCGGACCGGGCTTTCATCCAAGGTGAAGTCGATAAGATGCTGTCGGAAGGAATAATCGAACCCAGCACTTCACCATGGAGGGCGCAAGTCCTCATCACTACTAATGAGCGGCACAAAAAGCGGCTTGTTGTCGACTACAGCCAAACCATGGATGGTTATCCTTTGCCCCGGATTGACGACTTGGTGACTAACCTATCTCATTACATGATCTTCAGCACTCTCGACCTAAAGAGTGCGTACCATCAGATCCCTATACGGTATATGGACAAGCCATTCACTGCCTTAGAGGCGAACGGTAAATTGTACCAGTTCCGTAGGGTCCCATTCGGAGTGACGAACGGCGTGGCTTGTTTCCAACGAACCATCGATGAATTCATACGTAGAAACGAACTGCTGGGTACTTTCGCGTACATTGACAACATCACCATAGCCGGTACGTCTTAACAAAAGCACGATGAAAATCTGTCCATATTCCTTGAGGCAGCAAAGAAGTCAAAATTCACCTTCAATGAAGACAAATCTGTCTTCTCAGCAACGTCGATTGATTTGTTGGGCTACACCATATTGCATGGTACTCTCAAGCCAGACACCGATCACTTGCGTCCTCTGAAGGAATTGCCACTTCCGAAAGACTTGTTCTACGACGGACTCTTTTCATACTACTCTCAGTGGATCTCACACTTTTCCGACGAGGTCAGACCTTTGGTCAAGGCTCAGACATTCCCTCTCTAAAGGGAAGCAGTCTCCGCCTTCGAAAATCTTAAAGAGGAAATAACAAGTGCGGTAGTCAGCTCGATTGACGAGACGATTCCATTTGTAGTAGAAACCGACGCTTCCGACTCTTCCATCGCTGCCTCCCTGAATCAAGACGGTAGACCAGTTGCATTCTTCTCGATAATACTCCCCGACAGTGAGTGCAGACACTCTTCTGTCGAAAAAGAGGCCTACGCTATCGCTGAAGCAGTAAGGAAATGGAAACATTTCCTATCTAGCAGACACTTTACTCTCATCACCGATCAGCGATCTGTGTTCTTCATGTTCCACTCCAAGAAGCTGGAACAAATCAAGAACGACAAGATCCAACGATGGCGTGCCGAACTAGCCTGCTTCGACTACGACATTGTCTATCGGCCATGGACTGAAAACTCAACTGCTGATGCCCTATCGAGAGCTTTCTGTTCGGCTACCAACCACAACAATCTGACAGATCTCCATCAGCAGCTATGTCATCCAGGAGTCACAAGGATGACTCACTTCATCCGCATTCGCAACTTACCATATCCTGTAGATGACGTCAAGAAGGTATGTGCTGAGTGCTCTACTTGTGCCAGGCTTAAACCTCAGTTCTACAAACCCAACACAACCGCCCTCATCAAAGCTACTCAGCCTTTTGATCGGTTAAACATTGATTCCAAGGGTCCCTTGCCGTCGACTTCCCGAAATCGATACCTACTAACCGTGGTTGACGAACATTCACGATTCCCCTTCGCGTTTGCATACGAAGACATGACCGCCGCAACAGTCATCGAGTGTCTGCGTCAGTTATTCGCTATATTCGGCATGCCTGCTTATGTCCACTCGGATCAAGGTACCTCCTTCATGAGCCGAGAGCTGAGAGATTTCCTCACTAGTTATGATGTGTCTATCAGCCGAACTACCTCATACAACCCTAGAGGAAATGGTCAGTGCGAGCGCTACAACGGAATAATATGGAAAACCATTACACTCGCTTTTAGGTCCAAGAACATCGCAGAAACTAATTGGGAATCTGTGTTACCTGACGCACTTCATTCTATTCGGTCTCTGTTATGTACTGCCACCAACAAAACGCCTCATGAAAAACTGTTCAACTTCCAACGCCGATCAGCCCGTGGTAGTACGATGCCAACCTGGCTCTCCTCTCATTGACCAGTCTTGCTACGAAGACATGTCAGGAACAGTAAGTACGATTCTCTGGTTGATGAGGTTGAGCTTCTGGAAGCCAATCCACAGTACGCCCACGTTCGGTTCCCTGATGGACGACTGTCTACCGTGTCACTCCAAGATCTGGCCCCTGCTGGACAAGCTGTTACAGATATTGCCGATCCCGAACCTGAACCGACTAAGTTACCTAAGGCAATTACCACGGTGCCCCTTCAACCTACACCCGGCACTCCAGTGGCTGAATCTCCTGTCAGGGACGACCTTTCAAGCACTCTTCTGCATGAAGCTGTACAGGTACACTTGTATGTCTAATTCAGCAAGTGTGTACTGTAATAAGTTATGCTACAGGAACACCTGAACCCATGATACAGGTAATGTTATGTGTGTACCTCCTTGATACAGGTAATGAGGAAGTGTGTACCTCATTGATACAGGTAATATTATATTGTGTACCTTAATTGTTCAGGTAATGAGGGCGTGTGTACCTCCTTGATACTGGTATTGAGGGAGTGTGTACCTCCTTGATACTGGTATTGAGGGAGTGTGTACCTCCTTCATACAGGTAATGAGGAAGTGTGTACCTCCTTGATACAGGTAATGAGGAAGTGTGTACCTCATTGATACAGGTAATGAGGAAGTGTGTACCTCCTTGATACAGGTAATGAGGAAGTGTGTACCTCCTTGATACAGGTAATGAGGAAGTGTGTACCTCATTGATACAGGTAATGTGGAAGTTTGTACCTCCTTGATACAGGTAATGAGGAAGTGTGTACCTCATTGATACAGGAAATGAGGAAGTGTGTACCTCCTTGATACAGGTAATGAGGGCGTGTGTACCTCCTTGATACTGGTATTGAGGGAGTGTGTACCTCCTTGATACTGGTATTGAGGGAGTGTGTACCTCCTTGGTAATGAGGAAGTGCGTAGGTAATGAGGAAGTGCGTACCTCATTGATACAGGTAATGAGGAAGTGTGTACTTCATTGATACAGGCAATAAGGAAGTGTGTACCTCCTTGATACAGGTAATGAGGAAGTGTGTACCTCCTTGATACAGGTAATGAGGAAGTGTGTACCTCCTTGATACAGGTAATGAGGTAAGAGAGAGAGATTGAAATATATTTACATGAGCAGATAGATTAGATATACTTAGTTTCGTCTATAAATTTATTAGTTTATTTTAACTAGAGTAGAAAAATATTGACTTTACGGCTCCCTTCGTATTTTTTACTTTAAATTCTACCCAATTAATATATGCTTTAAGGTACACCCACTAACGATTATTCGGCACCCTTATGGCGTGATACAGTATGACATGGGTGCCGAATATTTTTCAAGTGGGTGTACATGGACATATAACGGAATAATAAATGATTATATATAATAAAAACGAGGTAAACAATATCTAAAAGAAGAACAATAATTAAGACAATAATTAAGATATTGGTGTGTATTAAGTCTTCGGGGAGAGTCACCAGGTAGACTACACCTGTCTACGTCATAGCTGCCTTGGGGGTGATAATGTGTTAAACTCACATCTATATCACGGTTAATGGACCTGAACAATAGCTATTACCGGTGAATCAAGTTAATAATCTCTCTCTCTCTCTCTCTCTCTCTCTCTCTCTCTCTCGTTCTTATTCACGAAACCAAGTATATAAGTAAGAATAACTGAAGTACACTATATTATAGTGTATAAAGGTTTTAAACACTTACGTAAATATTAAATAGGTTAATTTAATACCAAGATAATTGTGTGGCTATTCACTGGCCAGTCGAGAACTCGCATGCAAATTGGGTACTCACACGTCAGCTGAGAGAATTGTTGCTCATCTCTCTCTCTCTCTCTTTCTCTGTGTAAATATATATATATATTAATATATATATATATATATATATATATATATATATATATATATATATATATATATATATATATATATATATATATATATATATATATATATATATATATATATATGTAACCGGTCGGAATTTACTGGACTTTAATTTCTCACTTGACTTGGGGTTTATTAAAAATTATTAGATGGTAATGGCAGTGGAAGCGCCCCTTTGAGAAAAATCCCGAACCAGCACAAGAACACTTAAATCTACTAAACAAAATGAATTGTCCGTGACCCGTGGAAGGATAGCGTCTGTGACTGGGATGAATGAGACACACTGTAAAATTTAGACACTTATATTCCCTCCAACACTACAAACACAATCAAATAATGGTACACCAATATGCGCACCTCTTAACTTAAACTTAAAACACTACTCTGGGGAATAAAAGTTATACATGATATAGAAATTATTAGAAACACAGGCAACAATAAATTTGAAGTATTAAGAAATGTTGCTTGCACCCATGAAACAGGCCTTAAGGGCTTTCACAAAATAATATCAGTCACTTAGGAAATGGTATTAAAATATAAGAAATTAACTACTCTACAATGAATAGGCCTTAAGGGCTTTCAACAAAACAATATCAGTCACTGAGGAAATGGTAATAAAAAATAAGAAATTAAATACTCTACAATGAATAGGCCTTAAGGGCTTTCAACAAAATAATAGCACCCCAACAGATGCACACTTCCTAACCTAACTTAACCACTACTCTGGGGAACAAGGTTATACCTGAGATCAGAATTATGAAGAACAATTAGATGCATTAAAAGAATCAAATCACAGCATCACTCTGGTTCCACTTAATGGCACAAACATTCAAAAACAATACTATCAAAATTATTTAGGACTATTAAACTACACACGTCAAGATAATATCAGTCTGAGGAATGGTGTTAACTACACCCGTAATAAGGAAGATGAAATGTTCCTCTAGGTATCTCCTA